TCCTGTGAAGGAAGATCCTAAGAAATTTAAATGTTCAAATTGTGGTGAAAACCACAAATCCAATTTTTGGGAATGTAAGACTCGCAAAGCGATCCTACAATCTCGTTCTAACCGACAGGTAAGAAACGCTCCACGTTTCCGACCAGGTACAAATTCCTCTGCTGTTAACAACGGTCAGCGAGGAACAAATTCTACATTCGTACCCGTAGGTACAAATATCACCCCTGCTTCAAATGTTTCATCTGTACCTACTCCCCTCGCTGCTAACAATGTTCAGCGAGTTAATGGAGCTACCTATGCTGCTATTGCAGCGGGTAGAAATCAAAATACTAACCAACGTTCTAACGGAAATTTTGACAATTTTGACTTAGGAAGCATTACTGCCCCTAAAATGGAATTTTTACAGAATTCATTAATTGACATGATTTCTGATATGCTTAAATCTAACTCCATGTTTGATGCTATTCAAACTGGAGTAAAATTTGCTAATAATATTGTCATGACTTTAAAATTCAGTAATGGATTTTAAAGCATTAAACATTTTAAATTGGAATGCTCGATCTCTTAAAGATAATGAAGACGAGCTATTTAATTTTTTGAGAGTTCATAACGTGCATATTGCCGTTATAACTGAAACGTTCCTTAAACCTGACCATAAGGTTAAGAAGGACGCAAATTACTTGATTTATAGAAATGATCGTCTTGATGGACCCTGTGGTGGCGTTGCCATCATTATTCATAGACGAATCAAGCATAAAATTCTTTCTTCATTTGAAACCAAAGTTTTTGAAACTTTGGGAGTTTCTGTTGAAACAAAATTTGGACAACTTACGTTTATAGCTGCCTATTTGCCATTCCAATGCGTAGGCCAGCAAAAGAATTTTCTCAAGGGTGACCTCCAGAAACTTACCCGTCATAGGTCTAAATTCTTCATTATTGGTGATTTTAATGCAAAACACCGCTCATGGAATAATGCTCAAAGCAATTCCAATGGTAATATTCTGTTTGATGATTGTTCTGCAGGTTATTACACTATTCAATATCCAAACAGCCCAACATGCTTTTCTTCTGCAAGAAATCCCTCAACTATTGATTTGGTCTTAACTGATTCATGTCATCTTTGTAGCCAATTGGTTACCCATGCTGACTTCGGTTCTGATCACCTTCCAGTAACTTTTGAAATATCCCAAGAAATAATTTGTAATCCCAACAGCTTTACTTTCAATTACCATAGGGCTGATTGGGAGCAATATCGAACATTTATGGAATATAACTTCGATCCAAACATTCCTTTGCAAACCAAAGATGAAATTAATTATGCTCTTGAATCTCTGACTACTTCTATAGTTGAAGCAAGAGCTGCCTCAGTACCAAAATGCGAGGTTAAATTCGATTCAATTATAATAGACGATGATCTTCAGCTCTTGATCCGTCTTAAAAATGTCCGTAGGAGACAATTTCAAAGAACACGCGATCCTGCCATGAAAGTTATCTGGCGGGATTTGCAAAAACAAATTAAAAAGCGATTCTCTGCCCTGAGGAACAAAACTTTTGAAAATAATGTTTCTAAATTAGACCCGAGTTCCAAACCCTTTTGGAAACTCACAAAAATTTTGAAAAAACCTCAAAAGCCAATTCCAGCGCTTAAAGAAGGTGGTAAAATTTTGATCACAAATTTGGAAAAAGCTCAGAAACTTGCTAAGCAATTCGAGAGTTCCCATAATTTCAGTTTGGGTCTTACTAGTCCTATTGAGAATCAGGTTGCTCGGGATTTTCTGAATATTTTCTCTCGGGAAAATATTTTTGATGATTCCTGGGGGACTGATTTGGACGAAGTAAGGTCTATAACCAAAAAATTTCAAAATATGAAAGCTCCAGGTGATGATGGTATTTTCTATATCCTCATCAAAAAACTCCCAGAGAGTACCTTGTCTTTCCTGGTAAAATTATTTAACAGATGTTTCCATTTGGCATACTTTCCTGATAAATGGAAAAATGCAAAAGTTGTTCCAATTTTGAAGCCGGATAAAAATCCAGCTGAAGCTTCTAGCTACCGTCTAATAAGTTTGCTTTTTTCAATTTTGAATAGAATGATGCTTCACATCAACACGAACTCAATTTTTGCAGATGAGCAGTTTGGATTTCGCCATGGGCATTCAACTACTCATCAACTCTTGAGAGTTACCAATTTAATTCGTTCAAACAAATCTGAAGGTCACTCAACTGGAGTTGCTCTTCTAGACATAGAAAAAGCATTCGACAGTGTTTGGCATGAAGGTTTGATTGCTAAATTGAAAAAGTTTAATTTTCCACTTTATATTATGAAATTAGTTCAAAATTATTTAACCGACAGATCTCTGCAGGTAAATTATCAAAATTCCAAATCTAATCGACTACCTGTTAGAGCAGAAGTTCCTCAGGGTAGCATTCTTGGGCCTATATTGTATAACATTTTCACTTCGGACCTCCCTGATTTGCCTCAGGGTTGCCACAAATCTTTGTTCGCTGATGACACAGGCATTTCCGCTAAAGGAAGAAGTCTTCGTGTTATTTGCAGCAGACTTCAGAAAAGTTTAGATATTTTCTCTTCTTATTTACAAAAATGGAAGATTTCTCCCAACGCTTCCAAAACTCAACTTATAATATTTCCACATAAGCCTAGGGCTTCCTTTTTGAAACCTAGTAGTAGTCACATAGTCACTATGAACGGAGTTCCAATTTCCTGGTCAAACCAAGTGAAATATCTTGGATTAATACTTGACCATAAATTAACTTTTAAAGATCACATTGAGGGCATTCAAGCCAAATGTAACAAATATATAAAATGTTTGTATCCTCTTATAAACAGGAAATCCAAACTTTGCCTGACGAATAAACTTCTAATATTTGAACAAGTTTTTAGACCGGCCATGCTTTACGCTGTGCCAATATGGTCTAGTTGTTGCACTACCAGGAAAAAAGCACTTCAAAGGATTCAGAACAAAATTCTGAAGATGATTTTGAAGTTGCCTCCCTGGTACAGTACTACCGAAGTACATAGAATTTCGAATGTTGAGACTTTAGCACAAATGTCCAACAAAATAATTAATAATTTCCGACAAAAATCGTTACAATCCTCAATTGCAACGATTAATTCCCTTTATACTTAGATAAGATTTAGTTTTAGTTATTTAGTTTTAAGCTATCAATTGTTATACTGACATGCAGGTTTAAAAAACCTGTTTAAAATACTGAATTGCCAAGACAGGAACAATGTAAAAACACTTAGATATATATCATAACAATTAAGGCTGGTAAGTTACTGTAGTAACTGGAGCACCTAGGTTAAAAATGAAATGTAATTTATTTTGAATTTGGAACAAATAAAGAGTTAAAAAAAAAAAAAAAAAAAAATCATTGAAATTAGTCACTATCGAATTGACAGTTATTATTCAAATTCGTCATATTTCCGAAGCATTACCGATCCTTTTCTTCCAAGTACTCGAGTGCATTTGACCGCAGCTATAAGATTTCAGATTTTCCTATTTACTGAAACACCTACTCTGCCATTTTTATTTGCTTATGTCCGACAAGCATGTGACAAAAAGTGTGCAGCATAAAAACTATAACATCTGTCAGATTCATGGCTCTGAAACGTGCTCCGATAAGCAGCTGTGTACGATTAAGCTTCAAACCCGGCTACCATTGTTGGTCAACGGAAACAGAGAAGCGAAATTGGATCGTTCTCAGTCTCGCTTCAATAAAAAATGATAATGGTCTTAAAAGCCAACCAGCCACAAACACTCCCACAGGCAGCGTAATCAATGGGTAAAAATGCCAGCCAAGATATAATTTCGCCATCGTTGACTCCGTCGCGGCAAATTCAACATATAGTACAATCCCCAGTAGGAATTCAGGAAAAAAATCTTGCCATTATTACTGCTCTTAAATTGTCTTGGCGCTCGTTCAAACGTAAAAGAAAAGGAAGAAAGCACCATCATAAAACGGATCGGAGGCTTTTGAGACAGTTTTATTTTTTCACGGTCTGCTTTCGTCCAATTCCGATAAGAGTAGCAGCTTTTTTTTTTTAAACAAAAGTGCCACCCAGGTTTAACTGCAGGTCTTACGAAGCGGGAATTTTGCGTTTGTTTTGAATTTGAAGGTTTGAATTCAAGTCAGGTTTCAAATATATTGGGACAAATTTAAACAGACAGCAAGCCGTATTGTTCAGGGAATTCGTTTTGATACAAGAGGCGTTGTTTCTAGCAACTTTATTGCGAAGTGAATACATAGGGGAAATGGCTCTAATGTTGGCCTGTGGATCTAAGATTGGGCCCATCGCCAAGAAGCTGCTATTTATCAATTTTATCTAGATATTTTCAGCCGCTATTGAAAATTTAGTCGATTGCTGAATTTATGTATGGGCCCAAATAAGAGGCATTCAGGCCGACATTACATCCATTTCCCCTGTTGGTTTTTTTTTTTTGTCAAATAGATGTAAGCTTCAATAGCTTTTTATTTGCCATAGCTAATACAGCTCTTGGTCTAGACATGGGACAGCAAATCCTTTGCAAGGTCGTTCAGCTCTTCATATTTATTTCGTCTATGAGAATATTTTCAGTGGCTGGAACCAATGCACTGGTGTTAATAGGCTTATTGGTAAAAAAGAAAGAAAGCAGTTTAGCAGCAAGTTGTATTTTCTTGTCTTACGTCATTCAGTATGTCTTAACCTGCTGAAAAATGTTTTGCTAACTGAACTGATAAGTGGCTGCATGTTTCCAATTTCTCGAACGTTACACAGTTGAAATTTCCAAAAAAATAAACTGATCAGGCTGGAGATAAGGACCACCCACATCAGACCCGTTTAACATAAATTTGACAGTTAGGCAATAGCATTTGCTGTCGCTTTGCCGCAACGCGTCACTCTGCACTCTGCAATGCACTCATCAGTTAATACATCCCATTATGAGAAAAAATCTTCCAGCTAGGGGGGAACTTGAAAACAAAAACAAAAGACTTACCTTGCTGCCGAATATCAATCCCAGCAGTAGGGTGACGGTGAGTTGTGTGTGGCAGAAAAATATTATGTACAATAAATCTGGATTAGCGGGTGACTGCAGGAACAACCTAAATGTGGATCCAGAAAAGAAGAAAAAAAAAAGAAAGAAAGGAAGAAAGAAAAATACAACACAATGAGAATTTTACTCGTACGACTGGTGGAAGCTCAGCTAAGTGGGGGCGAAATGTTGCCCCCAGGATGGCAGGTGAAGTTGCCGGAATAATGGTAAGGATAAACATGTATGGTTCTGAATGGTTTGTTTGGGCTCGGTCGTTTATAACAAGATGTTTCCGGAGAGATGGTGAAACGGGAGAAGATATCGTCGTGAGCAGTGGAATGAAAAATAATCGTTATCATTAACATTTTCATCGTTGGTTTTTCTGCTCTACAAAAGCAGAAAGCGCTTGGCTGGAGAGCACAATGGATGAAAGGAAAAGATGATGACGGCAATGATATTGCATTGTTTTCTATTTTCCTTTCTAAAAACATCCTCCTTCGGCTAGCTGAGCTCTCGTGCCGAATGCTTTTCCTTTGGATCACGAAAGTTCTTAGAACTCGTTGATAAATTGTTTGTGTATTTGAAATATGTTTGTTCTCGGAAGGTGTGCAGGAAAGACGTAGCTTTGGAGTTAGAGACCGTTGAACAATCAAGAAGCATAATTTATGTCTGTGAAATCTAGATGGATAAGGTGGGAAGGCTGGGTGCTTTGTTGTTGTTACCGAATAATATTGAACTTTTCATTTTTTATAGCTTTTTTCGTACCCTCCACTCTCTTCCTCACCAAAAAGCTCCATTTTGAGCTTCCTGGTAGTGAACACTCAAAAACTCAACCACAGGCAACACAACGAATACAGAATACTACATATAAAATGGCTGAGAATATTTTAATATACAATTATACAATAAGCAGAGACCGTTACGAACAAAACAACTTATGCGCTTCTAAAGTATCCTTTTAAAGAAACGCATATATTCAAGATAGTGTGTGCGTGAGGTAAACAATTCAATTGACTTCGTTCTTTCCTTGAGCTAATTCTGTGTTTTTTCCTATTTCTCTCTCATTTTTTTTTTGTGTTATTTTCCACAATCCGGACGGATTGTTTCACCGGTGTTTTCTGGAGTACAACGATTTCCTACAATTCCCGAGCTACATTTTACGAAACATTGTGCCACTACCGCAAAGTGAAGGAAGCAGTACAGCAGCAATGGAGTCGATTTGTTTTGCTTGCACTCGCAGTGTGAACAAGGCGTACACGAAATTATGTGCAATGGCTTCTGCAAATCATCGTTTCACCTAAAGTGCGTGCATCAGTCTACAGAAATCCGCAATACCGTTGCTGAATGTTCCCAGCTTTTTTGGAAGTGCAAAGCCTGTACGAAAATGATGTCCAACGCTAATGTTCGTCAAACCAATTCGTCCACAAACAATGTTATGGAATTGATGGCTGAAGCACATACCAAAGCACTGAACGATTTGAGGAAGGAAATAGCGCTTAATTTAACCAGAATCAATACTATCTTGCAGCGTACGAACAACACCACACGTTCCTCGACACAGCCACGGCCACGGCCTCTCACCGACAAACCGTCACAAAACGATAATGTATCCGTCGGTACCAAGGAAATCGCCCCTGACGAAACTATCCCGTTATCTGCAGCAAAAAGGGAAGATAAGTTTTGGATGTGTCTGTCCGGTTTCGATCCCCAGGCTACAGTACAGCAGATTGAAAAATTAGTGAGGAGTAATCTCAAAACAGAAAAGGTTGTGGATGTTAATAAATTAGTGCCGAAAGGGAAAACTCTGGATGAACTAACGTTTGTTTTATTCAAAGTCAGCCTGGAACCAGAGCTAAAGGACGCTGCCCTATCTGGATCATCATGGCAAAAGGGCATTATTTTCCGTCAGTTCGACTTCAGTCACCCCACATTAACGAGAGAAACATTTCGCTTACAGCCCGCACCATGAGACAGCCACTAACAGTGATCATCAAACCACGTACCGTACCGAAAATTCAACTACTATTAAACGATCCACTACGCAGCTCCGAAACACACAACACTCGTCTCACAGAACAGATAGGTAACTCAGAGCAAACGGTTTCATCTGAAACTGAGTTCATGCTTTTTTGTGATTTTTGCTATTCCTTTCTATTTCCATATGATGATTTTAAATCTTGTATAAATTGGTATAATAACCGTTAAAACATTTTGCTTACAGTACGCTCCTAATTGTTTGAACATGCAAAAATTAAATTTTCTTTTTTTCAATGCTTGGCCAATCATTATTGATGTAATTCCAGTGGTTTTGTTTGAATACGTGAATGGGGTATTACATTGCTTTGCATAAAATCACTATCAGTATTACAATTTGTTTGAACAAATTATAAACATATTTGATGGGATGTAGGTGAAATGTCTCGTTTTTAAATATGGTGATTGCAAATGTGTTCGGGTAACAACTATGTATGTATGTATGTACAACTATGCTACTTGCTGTTCTGAGTCTGTATGATAATAATAAGGTTCGATGCCTCCGCCATTTAACCATTCATGGTCAAGCCATTGGTGTATTTTTTTTTTGTTCATTTCAACTACACAACAACGAAAACGCAACGTAAAAGTTTAAAGTCCGTGCGCGGAAAAATGATATGGTTCAAAAGATCTGTCTGCAGGTTTGTGCCAAAGAGGAGCCTCAGAATTTTTTAGAAACTTTGCCCACAATTTTACTTTTTTTTATAGGGTAGGTGTACCAGTTATGGCCATACGTTCCTATTATGGTGTGTTCCAGTTATGGCCTATGGAATTCCATAGGCCATAATTGGAACACACCATAATAGGAACGTATAGCCATAACTGGTACATCTACCCTATATCTTTATTAAGGAGACTTTCAGCCGTTGGCTGGCTCGTCTCCGTACACAATTTTACTAATTTTTACATTCATCACTTGCTTTGCAATTTTGCCACCCTCAAGCATTGTAAAAATAATGATTTATATTCAAATTTTCAATTAGTTAGATTTTTGATCTTAACACAAAAAATGTAAGGGAATCCATTCTGAAGTTTTCACCAGTGAACGATGAGAAATCTTCAAGTAGGGTAAGTGTGCCAGTTTTAAAACTAATGCTCCAGTTTTGTGCTCTAATATTGTAACGAAATAAATAATATAATGAATGAAAAAATCTGAAATTCAGGATAGCGCCGATTAGATGGCATCTAGGGTTAAAACCTGGCACACTTATCCTTTGAAAAAAATATTGAAAAAATGTGATTACTTAGAAAATGGGTCTTTCGGTTTTTTCTTTGCAATTTTTCTCCATCGTGAAAATTTTCATGGAAAACATTTTTCAAATTATATTTTTAAGAATTTATGAGATAATTTCACTTAATTATAAGACACTTTTTTTTTCCTTTGATTTGTTTTCCGTTGATTCCGACCCATAAACTCATGGACCGGGGACCAACGGCTTTACTTCCTTTCCGAAGGAAGGCGTGATCAGGGATTTTATGCCTCAGAAAATCCGGTGGCGTCGACCTTGATTAAACCCAGGCTTTTTGAGGTGAGAGGCAATCACGGTGCCACTATAAAACAATCCAAAAACTTCATTTGGTTCTAGTGATATAAAAGAAACTTGATATGTGACAAAACCGGATGCATTACTAACTTTAATCAAACCAAAAGTAAAACATTGGGATTGAACCCCGAACAACCGAGATGAGAGGCTTAGTAACCCTAAACCACAGATGCTTTGGGAAAATGGATGACTAAATCATGTTGCTTGCACTCCAAGGGTAAAGTTTTGTTTAAATAGTGTTCAAAAGTTAAGTGCCATAACTACCTTAAAAAAGCGTTGTTTAAAATTGTCCATTGGTAATCACATATTTTAACACATTTTTATGTGGATAGACATGGATTAAACGTGATCCTTATTCATGTATACGATTGACATTATGATCATTTCAAAATGAACTCCTAATAGTTACATTGCATTTACTTATTTTGAGATTTATGGTCTAATGTATTTTTTTGGCCCAAAGTCAATGGTCCAGTTTTAATAGATTTTTAGTTAAATGATATTTTGATTTAAATCAACCATCTCTTCAACAGTTGTAAATATATTATTGATGAATACATGCTATAAACTAATTTCCGCGCTAAAATGTGAATTTGATAAGGAACGGAACTTAAAGTTGTGTGTTTTTGGCCCAATTTACCCTCCAACTTACGGTACTATCTTCTTTTTTGCGCGTTCATCAAGTGCACCAGCACGTCTGTTGGAAGTTTAATAATTTGCGGGTCACGACTGCGTTTATTATTTGTAATTTACGTCATGTTAAATAGCCCAAAAATATTAACTATTAAAACAAAACTAAACTCTGACTGTATTGACACCCTCTTGTGTGCAATATATAATTTCAAATATTTTTTGATGAATTTCTACTGATGTTTATTCATTAAATTCATAAATTCACTAATAAGCTAAAGCTAAACAAATATGCTAATAAAGATCATGTGTCAAATAAGTTGTGCATGCATAACATAATTATAATCTGTTGCGTTTGGCTTTTCAATACTAGCAATCTTTAGTAAAATATATTTAACGTACTTTAATAAAACGGTAAAGTTTTCACTTGATTCACATGATCAAAATATTTGGATAGTACTATACGATTCTTGTTGTCAATTATACCAGTACCAGCAATGCCAGATTGGAAGAAAAATATTAAATCCAAGTACACAACTAACCTTGGATTAAAAACTGCTAAAGCCACTATGTACTGATGAGCATACAAATGTTACATGTCAAAGTAACATGACAACATTTATTTAATTGTTTCATTGAATTATTATTATCACACACGCAACGTATCGCAAAGTCTGGGAAAACTGGCAACAAGGCGCCACTAATTTGCTTTTCATGATAGGAGTAAAGAGTTACAGAGCTCTCGTCAACGCCAATTCCTATGTCAAGTGTGGTGTCCCACTAACTGCTACCAGGAGGACTGAAAGAACAAAAGAGACGGCAAGTATATGACAGATAGGCTCGAATTCGCTTTTCCTCTCAT